AAAGGTAGAAAAGCCAGGTGAAATGCCAGAAATAATGTAGATTACACGTTGGTTAATGGTGATTAGGAGAGCCCGATTTTACTGATTTTTGGAACAAGTGCAAATTTTACTATTGTTTTTAATGATGGAAATCCTCTTTGAGTTCCAACAAAATCTCATACTAAAACATCAACTCCAAACTCTTTGGAAGATATTTTTACTTTCAGGCTGTTTGAATGTATAATAAACATATTCGAGGCATTCCAAGCTTAAATACGGATACACCTTCTGTTCATTAAATAGTGTGCTCAAAAGTGGAATCGTAAACATGGAAACGCAAAAGGAAGAGCAAGCAATGTAAAACCATCAAAGCACACATATATGTGTTTTCTACATTTGCTTCTGCATGTATTAGTGTAACACTTAGTGCCAGTGTTCAAATAGCAGAGATATTACTTCAAGACCCAACTACAAGGCTCCAACTACAACTCCACCCGCTACGAGAGACAGATCACATTTTGCCAGCGTCTAGTACGCCTACAAATATGCTACAAGTCAAATTAATATATCAAATAGGCCAGCAAGCAAAGCAACGACGACGAAGATGGTAGCGAAGATGGATTGATGTAAATAAGTGGCAGCTACAAGAACAATGTAAATAATGACAAAAAAAACAGCAAACTACAATAAACTATTACAACAACAAAATTATGAAAATAGCAAATATATTTGCAGAAAACAAAAGACAAAGAAACTGAAAGATGATTAAGGGCAACGTGAACGGCAAGAGCATAAGTAAGTAAGTGAATAAGGGAAGGGAACTGAAGACAGCGCTGAAAAGGCAAGCCATATAGCGAACTGGGGATTCTTTAATAAGCGCACAAACAATTCCTGACTGCGACAAAACCATATTAAAGCATTTAACAGAGAAGCGCAATATATGTATATAAAAGCTTCGAACTAAATTGTAAGCAGCAACCTCTCTTTGTTTTATGAAACTTGAAAGATTAATGTTAGTTTGACACACAGTTTTCTGTTTAAAACTAATTAATGCATAACTGCAATTAGCTGGATTTGGATCTAGATTCGACATATTTGCCTGAATACTATTCTGAAAAATACATCTTTAGCGAAAGCTATATCTTGTGTTGGTAACATTAATTTTAGTTGTTGTCATTTGTATACCGACCAGCAATAAATGCAGAATTTTTACGGACTCAGTAGTCATATAATTATGAAATCAACAACAAGAATCGTGATCTCCGATTTATCGAAAATAAATCACAAATTAATGCAATAGAAGCTCTTAGTTTACTAAAACGGAAGTTGGTCTCAGACTGATCAAAATGTGTTCGACTAAACTATCATAACGAGGTTAGTTCTCGGCTCACACACCTGCGACGTATTTGTGGACGGGCCGAAGTCGTTGTACAGGAGGCACAGTGAGCTTATTCGCGAGTGAATGAAGTTAAAATTGAGAGGAGAAGGTGGAGTCTACTGTCGGGAACTAGTCATCAGCTCTAGTTTCAGGCTACCACCACACCAATGTAGYGTCTTTCAAGCAAAGGTATCTGCCATTCACCACGATTTCATCCGATTGAAAGCGAGTCAGTTTTCCGATGTCCGTTTGCGTTCTAAAACCGGTCCTATACAGCTATAGTGAGCCAAACCGTATGGAAATAAGTAAAAGGAATTAACTTGTCGTTTGTTCCTCTCTTAACTATCGTTTGCTGGTTTGAGATTGAAATATCTCGGTAGACACACATTTGGAGTACTTTGCAAAGAGGCAAGGATTGATATTAACAGATCTAAGAGGATTTAAGTAATTTTAGAATGGAAATATCGTGATTTTAAATCATTCTTTAATAGTCAGAATATTCCACGTACATATTTGCTTTAACGCAGCCATCACCGACACGTCACAGCTTGTCTCACATTTTCTTATCAACATATGTCTACACGCTCGAGCGATATTAAGTGCTGGACGATAAGTCAGCRAATTTACGTATTTATTATGAAACATGTGCGCATAAAACCCACAATAACAGCAACTATTTGACTTTGACGAGAGTTGGCACTAACGTCTCTAGACGCATCGCATAGCAGCGCAACCACACATCTAAGTACACAAAGATTGGTACATCTGTGTCAAAGTGTGCACATATACACGCGTGGGAGCGGAATTAATACTAAACTTATGACAAAGGCACAATTGACCGGAGGCTTTGCTATTAAAGACTTAAGAATTTTGTTTTGTTAGAGCTTAACTAAATATTTCTACCCGACTTCTTTAACTTTCCTAACAGCGAGCGAAAACGGGTTACTATCTCTYCAATACTTTCCTRATGATTTCCGAGCTCCASCTTCTTMAGCTGAAGAGGTTGAATGTTGTCCAGAACAGTCTTCAAAGGACTTGCACCACTCGCAGGCTTGTGTTTTTGAATCAACATATGCCTTAGTAAATGGTTTCGAACTTGTGTCATATATTATATATGATACAATATTACGATAGATTTAGATAGTTTTATTTTAGCTCGATGAAAAAGAAGTATAATTACAACTTACCATCACAAACCATCAGCCTTGAGCGTTATTAATGGATGAGTTCTTTAGATTTGAGTCAAGTTAGGYGACATYGGCTCGCTTTATTTCAAGAACTATRTTARTGTTATTTTTATTGATGTTCCTTTCGTTTAACTCCGAAGTAGTAGAAAGCGAAGGACTCGTTCATTTAGGGCTCCCAACATCTCGCAGTATTCTAAGCCGCGTTTCGACACCATTGACTTAATAACTATGAACGCGTCAAATGATGTTTCATTAGCAAAGTGGTTTAGTGGTTAGCGTGTGCTGACGGGGATTTCATACACAGACATGCATACGGCAACTTAACGCCTGGGGATCACGTTCCCCCAGACACAATTTGCACTTGTTCATCCTGCCTGTTGGTTGCGTCTTTATTTAACAAGCGCATACGCACAAAATAGCTAAAAACACATACATACATATTAATATATATATAAATATATATATATATAGTTATATGCACTCATCTGTTCTTCCATCCGGCTTGTCTGTGTTYGCGGCTAATTTATCCTGGTTCAGTGAGCAGCTGCGGACATTTGCGCGCACATCTAATGGGTTTACGTGCTGCCCCGCCATATGTTGACGAACATAAGTATGTTTGTAYGTCGGTGCAACACATGTATATAGTTAGGTGAACCAACATAAGAAATCTGTTAATGCGAAAATCCTTTAATTTCTTTATGCGCTTTATTTGCGGCAAGTTTATTCGTGGTTGAGCATATTGCCACTATCGCCTCATAGTCGGTATGCCCATTGGCCGTATGAATGTGGTGAGCGCTAAGCATGTTTACATGAACTTCTTCCTCTTTCGTTACTCATTTTTGCTTTATGCCTTTCAGGGTTAGTCGACTGATTGGTTTGTCAGTGAGCTCTGTCGGATTATAATGAACGCCTTAATTGCTTTATGTAATCCCCAATTCACACAGCTCAATCAGTATTTAGGTACATATGGTTCTAAAAGCTCTTAAACCGTATTATACTTAATYTCAAGGTTTTTTGCTACGAGAATGGCACAATGGATTAAAAGCTTGACCGGCAGTAAGAAGATATTCTTATACAATCATCCCGGAATTTGAACTCCATTTATTCAWCGTAGATKAYATATATT